CCCCAAAACCCCAAAACCCCAAAACCCCTTAAATAATATGAAGTATAAAATGGGTGAATAATGAATAAATATAGGAAAAATATACTAAAGTTTTAATTTCAATAAAAATCTCTATCAGAATAGAGGATTATCACTCATCAATATTTCTATCACAATTTTCATCTTTTAGGTGGTTTTGCTGCATTTCTCATATTATTTGCCTAATTCACCATATTATAATTATTGTTCGGATTACTGCTTGCAGGTGCAAAATTGTTCCCATGAGTCCTTTACTACTGCAAATTACCTTAGCTACTTCCTTAGTAATTTATTTTCTTTTATCCAAGAGAATTTCTTGATACAGGTTTAGGAGGCGAGTTTATGTAATTTGAATTTTGATTGTAAATTTCATTAGGAATCCTAGTTGGATGCTTCTCTTGAGAATTTGTTGCTATTTAATGTCTTTTAATGCCATTTTATGTTTACTTATAGTCAGCATACCATTTCTTTTCTCTAGAATTTTACTACGCTTGATTATTACTATTATGTGGAGGTGAATGTGATTGCGAAGCTTGATAATTTGCTAGGCCTCTAGAATCAATATTGATTAATCCCCTACTTGGTATTCTAACCTAATTATAATGATTTTTCAATTCCATTTCTTGCTTACCAGCTGCATGACTTGTTCCAATCCTTGTCACAAAAGAATTGGTATATTCATTTTCTGCTTGGCCATTCTTCGTTTAAGGCTGATTCTAATTATTTATAGATTTTATTGATGCGCTTTTACGATAACTAGTTTAGTCTTCATTTTAAGATTAGGGTAAATTTTGATTATTCTAAGGTATTTAATTTTAGATAAGTGAAGGCAAGTGCAACTTATTTGAAACATGTTTTTAAGTATTCAAAAGTTAAGTCTTGCCTATAATATTTTTATTGTTTAGAGGAATATTTATGAACTTTTCTCTGTTAATTTGAGGTAAGAAATCTTATTAATGATTGTTACTTCCTGCTCCAATACTCAGTTGAGATGGGGATTTTGAAGCACTGTGATTATTTTATTACGAATTCTTAGCAAAATTCGATCCAGATGTCATTTTCATATTATCTTCTGTCTATTACTGATGAGGCTGACTGATATTTCTTAATACAAGCTAATTAGGCTTAAATTTATGCTGGTTCATCTTGAGATCAATAAATTTAGGATTTTGATGCTAATTAGCTTGATTTTTTTGAATTTAATTCATGTTTTGGATCAATAACTTCGGATTATTGAGTTTTACTGGTGGAGATCTACCTTGAGGAAGATTATTCTTCAGGTTTGAGAATAATACCTTATTTTTCTAAATTTGGTAAAGTTGTTAAGGTTGATCTTGCTATCCTCCTTCAATTAAATGATTGCTCTATCTGTTATCTTTACTAATGAATTTGTCTTAAAATCTCTTCGACTTATGAGATGAATTTACTAATCCTCCCAAGGAATCCACTCTTTAGTACTATGGTGGTTAATTAAATTGAACTTTATCTCTGCTTATTTTTGCTACTATATTATTATTTTTTCTCTCATAAGCATTTGACTCAGAAAATCTGTTTTGATTTCCAATATAGTCTTAATTGAACTAACTTACAGCATTATTTGTTTAGGCATTAATGACTTCTTAGGCAAGTTCAAATGGACCATCACCTCCAGTCTCTTAAAGATAACCAGATTTCATAAAGCTATCTGGATGAATCTTTGATTCTGACATTTTTTAATCACTCTTTGGTTATTCCCTCGCCTCTTTTTGTTTTCTAAGAAATAATATTGGTTTTGGAAGCTATTTTTCTTAAACTACTTAATTATTGTTTTCAAATTGATTATTTTCAGATTAAACAACATCCTAACCATAGTTATCATCTTGATTAACTAGGACCGACACTTATTTATTTGAGTTTTGCTTTGCATCTTAATTTGAGCTTGGATTACTTTGTCCTGATGATGATGGCCTCTTCTTTTGCTTCTTTACATGTGATGACATAGTATAAGGGTTCACACTTTTATTACTGTCATTGTTGATATTTTAATCAATCTCACTTTCGTTATTTGAGCATCTACTTAACTAAAGGTCTTCATTATCTGTCTCAAATCTAATTTAATTTGTATCATCATTCTTCATTGAAGCATCATTTTCACTAACTTCGATTATTTCCGCTATGTTGTGAACTTCAATCTACTGCTATGGACTCATTTCAGTTTATATAGTATTTTCATAGTTTTGCAAAATCTGATATTCTGAGATTTTAAGATAATCGTGATTTAAAAGCTGGTGTGCTGTTGGTCTCAATTTTGGATTCATTTGCAAACAGCTTTTAACAAAGTCCAATTCTTCTTCTGTCAATTCTGGTGTTCTCTTTTCCAATGAAACTGCATTTTTAGTGGATGGTAACTAAAAATATTTATAAATATATACAAAGAAGTGATTAATTTGTGTAAGAAATAAGCTTAGTAAATATTACATTTTTACCAATACTTTTGAACTCTGGGTTTTCATAAAATCTTTAAATTTGATCTTCAGGTAAATAATTTCCAAATGTTCTTATGATAAATGCGAGTGTTTCAAAGTTACTTTTGCCAGGAAACAAAGGATTTCCAGTAATTAGCTCTGGAATGATACATCCTAATGCCCAAATATCTACAGATTTCTCATATATTTTTGAGCCTACTAATAATTCCGGGGCTCTATACCATCTTGTGGAAACATATTCAGTAAGATTATTGTCCTTTTCTAAAATTTCTCTAGATTATCCTAAATCACACACTTTAAGTATGATGATAGACTCCTCATCTCCTTCCTTCTGACTAATATCGTTTGGATGATCTCTGATTTCCCTTGAATTAAGTTCTACTGAATGTCCTCTATATCGTTTCCACTGATTACCACTAGAATTAACATTTTAATTTGAAACTACTCTTGATAATAGCATGTTCTCTGGCTTAATGTCTCTGTGAACAGCCTTTAAATTTAGCGAATAAAAGTACATTTTTAGCATGCATGAATGCCAGAGCCTTCACCATTTAGTAAACTATCAGTCTCACTTATTCTCTTCCAAGCTTACCTTCAGGAGAAGCTTGAAGCATTTCAAGAAGAGTTTAATGCATTAATTCAAAAACCAAAAACACCTTTGAATTATGCTAGAAGCTGTTAAGCAATTTGATAATGTTAGGATGTCCCTACATTAGTTTCAAAACTGAGATTTCTCTTTCAGCTATTCTCAAAGACTATAATCTAAATAAAGACTGTGCCTCTTATATTTTACTTACAAATGAATCAGAATCCCTGAATTATTTGATGGCCACCATTTGGCCAGTCGATTTTTGCATGGCTTTAAGTACAATACCATACCCACTATATTAATTACTTTAGATTTTAACCTACCCTTATGCAATTAACTCCACGATTTCGTAATCTTCCATTCAATTATTCTCAAATGTTCTCTCCTTTTTTTGACTTGATTATAAATAATTAATTTCATTTCGATACTTTCTGTTTAAATCATATACTTTTTTACTGCACGGGGTTTTGGGGTTTTGGGGTTTTGGGG